ATTATCCTAACTTTCTGTTTAAAGTCCTTTACTAGGGACGGTGTGTAAAACACTGAAGTGTGAAATATGGAGGAAGTTGTCTCTTGTCATCCTCACTTAGAGTCATTTCCTCCTTACCTCCTATCCAGATTATTTAAAAACTGTAGGTCCTTTCTCCTGGACTTTCATTAGGTGACGTTTAGCATGGTATCCTAGGGGTAACTGAGGTTTTCAAGGACTTCTGCCCGACTTGCTGTTCCTAATGGTTAGGTTTCTCTTTAAAGAAAATCAGAAGATGTGTTGTCAAAAGGGCTACAAAGATACATAAAAAATGGTCTTTGCCCTTAAAGAGCTTTTCATTAAGCAGGGAGTTTAAGGTGATTATGTAAAATAGCCGTAGGATATTGCAGAATGTAGGCAGGCCTGAAAGAGCCATTACCAGTTGCTAAGAATGTTTGGAACAGAGAGTGAATGTCTTTGGGGCAAGGGAAGAAGTCAACCAGGAAAAACAAACCCCCAAAACCTGTGGAGGAGTTGGAGTTTTAAGTTTTTTGTTGTTGTTGTTGTTTTTAAGACAGTCTCGCGCTGTCGCCCGGGCTGGAGGGCAGTGGCATAGTCTTGGCTCACTGCAACCTCCATCTCCTGGATTCAAGTGATTCTCATGCTTCAGCCTCCTGAGTAGCTGGTACTACAGGTGCGCACTGCCATGCCTGGCTAATTTTTGTATTTTTAGTAGCGATGGGGTTTCACTGCGTTGGCCAGGCTGGTCTCAAACTCCTGGCCCCAAGCAATCCATCCACCTCAGCCTCCCAAAGTGCCCCGCCTTAAGTGGATTTTTAAGGTTGGTAAAATATCAACAGGCTGAAGTATGAAGATATGGGAGGGATGAATTTTCCTGCTTGGCCAGGTTGTGGATAAAGAGAATGCCAAGGGATGGGATTGGTGCCATCTATTTTGTGTTGGTTCTCGAATGCCCAGCTGAAAAGTTTGGAGTTTTTAGGGAAGGTAGGGTAGATCTATTGAAGGGTTTTGACTTAGTAACTCAGTCAGAGCTGTGAGTCTGTAAGGTTTGTCTGACAGCGATGTGGAGTTCAGTTTTGGAGGGGTGTAAAACCAGTTTGGAGGGGTAGATTACATGAGTGAAAAGGAAGGCCTGAGCTAGGAAATAGAAAAGACGTTGAGGAGGTAGGGATGACAAATAGATTGCATATAGTGGTGATGAGTAAGAGAGTTACGTGAAAAAATGGTGAGAGCAAATAATGATGCTATTGATAAAGTGTAAGGACATTGGAAAAAGACAGCTTTGGAGATGTTGAATGTGGTCTAGGGGTCAGGAGACAGGTTTGGATTTATGGGAGAGATTTGTAATCTTACAGATGGGCTCATTGAAACCTTGTGAATAGATCGAGGCATGATTAAGGGAAAAAGTGGGAGGGGGAGAAAAGAAAATTGCCAAGCACACAATCTGTAGTTAGGGGTTAAGAGGAGGAATAAATGAAGATAATAAGTTAGCTAACAGTTATAAAGTACTTCCTCTGAGCTAGGCAGATTTTCAAGTGCCTTCCATGTATTAATCTATGTAGAGGAAGAAGAGAGTACAGATTGGTGTGGTGTCTTCATAGAAGCCAATCAGAGCAGCTGAGTCTGAGGGCTTAGAATGGGTTGCTCTGATTAGTCCTTTGGCAGCTTGGAACAGAAGCCAGATTACAGTGATTTTAGAATGGTGTGGGAGACAAGAGCAAAAGGTTGACCCTTATTTTTAAAAACTTGAGGATGGAAGAAAGGTGATGACACTAGCACTTTGAAAGAGTAGCAGGGACTTGCAAAAGGCTTTTCTTGAATGATACAGAAGATTCATTAGGATAAAACTGAGGAAGGAATATTTATTTTTATTTATCTTTTGAGACGGAGTCTTGCTCTGTTGCCCAGGCTGGCGTGCAGTGGCACAATCGACTGACCGCAACTTGCGCTTCCCAGGTTCAACCGATTCTCCTACCTCAGCCCTCCTGAGTAGCTGGGATTACAGGCACCTAACGCCACACTTGGCTGTATTTTTTTGTAGTTTTAGTAGAGACTGGGTTTCACCATGTTGGCCAGGCTGGTCAGGAACTCCCGATCTCAAGTGATTTGCCCACCTTGGCCTTCGAAAGTGCTGGGATTACAGGTGTGAGCCACCGTGCCCAGCCAGGAAGGAATATTTAGCATTGGAAGGTTAGACAAATTAAAGAAGCCTGGGTCTGAAAGATAACAATCTCTGAAAAATGACTGTATTTTAAAGTGAGAAAGTTAATGACTACAGATAAAAGGAAAGGAACAGAAGTAATGTGATTGCGGAAGCATATTGAAGGACATCTGGCCAGATGAAGGAAATGAATGACAGTGTATTTTTAAGGTGGTTACTCAAGTGGCTCATAGGTAGACACTAGTTTTACTTCTGCAACCACTTTTTGAGCCCCTGCTGTGTGCACTGGAGATACAGTTAAATAAGATCATTTGTCAAACTTATTTTTACCACAAATCACAGTAAGAAATATATATTCTATCACAGTTCACTATATGTACATACACACACACGTGTAACTAAATTTCTTAGGATTATACTTAATCCTTGTTATGTTCAGTGTCCTCTGATACTTTCTTTTCTTTTTTTTTTTTCCCCCTTTAGACGGAGTCTTGCTTCTGTCGCCCAGGCTGGAGTGCAATGGCGTGATCTTGGCTCACTGCAACGTCCGCCTCCTGGGTTCAAGCAATTCTCCTGCCTCAGCCTCCTGAGTAGCTGGGATTACAGGCATGTGCCACCATGCCCGGCTAATTTTTTTTATGTGTGTTTTTAGTAGAGACGGGGAGTTTCACCATGTTGCCTCAGCTGGTCTCAAACTCCTGACCTCGTGATCTGCCCGCCTTGGCCTCCCAAAGTGCTGGGATTACAGGGGTGAGCCACTGCACCTGGCTGATATTTTCTAATCTATTGAAACACTTGTTCCAACTCACTAAATTAATGTATCCATTTATGGTGGGTTGAGTCCTACTGTTTGAAAAACATTGAAACATTGAAATAAGATACCAGTTTTGCCCTGGTAAATAGAGCTAAGAGGAGAGACAAACAAGTAACTGTGTATCATATAGAAGCACAATAAATGAATGAGCTATGGGAATCCAGCTAAAAGCAATTACAAGCAGTTGAGGCCAGGTGCAGTGGCTCACGCCTGTAATCCCAGCACTTTGGGAAGCCAAAGTGGGTGGATCACCTGAGGTCAGGATTTCAAGACCAGCCTGTCCAAGATAGTGAAACCCTGTCTCTACTAAAAATACAAAAATTAGCCGTGCATGGCACCCCGTGCCTGTAATCCCAGCTACTCAGGAGGCTGAGGCAGGAGAATCGCTTGAACCTGCGAGACAGAGGTTGAGGGGAACCAACATCATTGCATTACAACATGGGGGACAAGAGCGAACTCTGTCTCAAATACATATATGGATATCTATATGGATATCTATATGGATATATATATATGGATATATACACACACACATACAGAAAAAAGTCTCCCCATCCCAAATTTTAAGTGGGGTTTATCCTTTTATACCTTTTTCTTTGCTCATATAAACACATTTACACATAAATTTGTTTATTATTTTTTTTTTTGAGACAAGAGTTTCCCTCTTGTTGTCCAGGCTGGAATGCAATGGTATGATCTCAGCTCACTGCAACCTCTGCCTCCCAGGTCCAAGAGGTTCCCCTGCCTCAGCCTCCGGAGTAGCTGGGATTACAGGCATGTGCCACCACGCCTGGCTAATTTTGTATTTTTAGTAGAGACAGGGTTTCTCCATGTTGGTCTGACTGGTTTTGAACTCCCGACCTCAGGTGATCCACCCGCCTCGGCCTCCGAAAGTGCTGGGATTACAAGCGTGAGCCACCACATGGGCTTTTTACGCATAAATTTGTAAGGACTAGGCCGGGCGTGGTGGCTCACGCCGGTAATCCTAGCACTTTGGGAGGCTGAGGCAGGTGGATACCTTGAGGTCAGAAGTTTGAGACCAGCCTGGCCAACATGGCCAAACGACATCTCTACTGAAAATACAAAATTAGCCAGCTGGGCATGGTGCCATGTGCCTGTAATCCCAGCTGCTGCTCGGGAGGCTGGGGCAGGAGAAGCGCTTGAACCTGGGAAGCAGCTGCTGTGGTGAGCCAAGATCGTGCCACTGCACTCCAGCCTGGGTGACAGAGCGAGACTCTGTCTCAAAAAAACAAACAAACAAAAAAAACCAAGCTAGTCAAGAAAAAAAAACAAAAATACCCCCCAAAAAACTGAAAGAAATAAAGAGAATTTCATGTTTAATCAACTACTATTTGCTGTCACAACCTAAATGCTGTTATTAGGAAGGGGTGTGATTGCTGCTTTTAGTAAAGGTTTCAAGGTTTCAAAGAGTAATTGTGATAATTTGACTGATATGAATTGACTCTTGCCCTTCCTTGCTCTTTTTTTTTTTTTTTTTTTTGAAACGGAGTCTTGTTCTGTCAGCCAGGTTGGAGTGCAGTGGCATAATCTCAGCTCACTGCCACCTCCGCCTCCCAGGTTCAAGTGATTCTCCTGCCTCAGCCTCCTGAGTAGCTGAGATTACAGGTGCACACCACCACACCCGGCTAATTTTTGTATTTTTAGTAGAGACGGGATTTCACCATGTTGGCTAGGCCGGTCTCGAACTCCCTTGTAATCTGCCCGCCTTGGCCTCCCAAAGTGCTGAGATTACACGCATGAACCACCGAGCCCGGCTCCTTGCTCTTATGTTAGTAAATATGGAAATAAATTGTGAAATGCCCAAAGGGTATGATGGAGAAAGACTATTGCTAACTTGGATATGTCAGCAGTTGTCAAACTTTTTAGTATCGGGATCCCATTATACTTTTAAAAAGTAGAGGACCGCCAAAGAGTTTTTGTTTATGTAGGTGATATCTACCTACCAGTGTTTACCAATTTAGAAGTTAAAACTGAGATAGTATTTTTAAAGCACATTATTTAGAAATAACCATAATAAATCCATTACATGTTTATGTAAGTAGTTACTTTGTTTTCAAAAACAAAGTATTTAGTGAGGAAAATGCCACTGTTGTGACATTTTTACAACTGTCTTGAATGTTTGCCTGAATAGAAGTTGGGGGACTTCTCATATCTGCTCCTGCCTTCACTCTGTTGCAACATCCCAGGTCATATAGTCTCAGGAAAGCTCATCTGTATACTTTTGAGTAAACAAGTCATCTTAGCAGAATCTTGAAAATCCATGTGGCCTCATGGAATGCCTGAAAGGGCGTCATATCCCCGTTTCATTTTCATTTTGTCAGCCACTACTATACACTGTTCATGAGTTGTATGATCCTTGCTATGTGGTACATGTTCCATCAATTCTTTCTTTGCTTTGTTGCAGAGTCCTTTGGGCAGAACTATCCAGAGGTAAGAGTATAGTATATTGCCGTGATTTTAGGAACATAGTAACTTGTGGATGTTTATGTTAGAACAGAAAATACTTTTTGATCCTTGTGTTTTGACAAAGAAGCATTAAGTGTGATAATATATCTTTTGCTATGATAAGGAACTAGTGTATAATTTTGATCAGGGAGGAAATAGGCAGTGTGGGCTAGAAATCTTATCATGATGTTGTAATCTTACAGTTCATTTTCCTTTAAATAAAAGAAAAACTTTCATTGAAGGATTTTTCACAAACAACACCATCGTAGGTTTTTTGTGTGCTTTTCTTGTTTTGATCAGTGTTTTTACGTAGTAAAGCAAAATGTATGCTATACATGTGCTTTGCTTTTTTTTTAAGTGTAAAACTATTTTGTAACACTTGAATGTTTGAGGATAGACATTGTGGTTATTTTAAATACCTTGGTATTGATGTGAAATAATTTGACTTCTCTAATGTTATGCTTTGTAGGCTATTCCAGGGTTTTTTTTTTTAATTCTTAAAAAAAATTCTTTTAAATTCTTTTTGTTTTAAATTCTTGGAATAAATTCCCAGAATTATGATGACTGCATCAATAGATATGACTTTTTAAATACTTCTGTTATATTTTGCCCATTTGCCCTCCAGAAAGTTTATACAAAGTTATAGTAGTGATGTAAGGGATTGATCACATCTGTTTCCAGAATCTGTGGTTAGCTTTAATAAACGTTTCTTCATTTTGGCTATTTTAGTAGATATAAGAAGACACAGAGAGATTATTTTGGTATACAGTGTAATTTATATTCAATAAAAGTATCACAAGTGATAAAGAACCTTTAGGAAATAATTTGGATACCTGGCTATTGTTGTCTCTATTCTTGTATTTGTTTCAATTTTTAGGAAGCTGATGGAACTTTGGATTGTATCAGCATGGCTTTGACTTGCACCTTTAACAGGTGGGGCACACTGCTTGCAGTTGGCTGTAATGATGGCCGAATTGTCATCTGGGATTTCTTGACAAGAGGCATTGCCAAAATAATTAGTGCACACATCCATCCAGTGTGTTCTTTATGGTAAGACATTTTTAAATTAATATTTAAATATGAGTTAGGAGAATGAATGATGACTACATATTTGCAAATCTCATTGTGGATATTTTAATACTTAGATTTTAAAATATTCAGCCATTAGTAATACAGTTTATCATGGTTTATGTAGATCCTGAGTCCATGCTGTCCTTGAAGCACCTTTCTTGGGAGAAATTCATTGTATTATGGATCTGTGTCAGGTGCTGAGAATATCTCAATACTGAAATGAGATATTTTCAGATTGTAATTGTAGTATAATTGTGTTAGAATAAAAAATCTTGGTTAGGACAGAAGCTTGGAAGTCATTGAGTCCAATTTTGTCCAGGTTATTGAATTTCAGTAATTTTAGTGATCACAAGTGTGACTATTCCTTCAATGAAATATAGTTATTAAGGTTTTATAGCAAATGTAAAAACAATTGAAATCTGCTGTTACATGAATTCCCATTGATTTCACTCTTACTCTGAAACTATTTGCTTCAGAAAATTTTATTTTGGGGCAGCATTTTTTTTAAATGAACTTGGGGCCAAAAAAAAGGACCTAATCTGATCAAAGTTAAGTCTATCTCCTTTTGTCTAAATGGTATTATAAAGCATTGGATTGGGAGGAGGCTTGAATCACAGTAAAGTTTGGCCAGTAATGTACTGGTGACTTGGGCCAAAACTTTTCTCTTGTATCTAATAATCCAGGAAGCACTGGCCCGGATCTCTTAGGTTCCTTCCACTGCCTTTCTGTTTCTTTTTTGTTGTATTCTTGCAATAAAGATACAGGCATGGTGGCTCATGCCTGTAATCTGAGCACTTTGGGAGGCTGAGGCAGGTAGGTGACTTGAGGTCTGGAGTTCGGGACTGGCCTGACCAACATGGTGAAACCTCATCTCTACTAAAAATAAAAAAATTAGCCAGGCATAGTGGCGGGTGCCTGTAATCCCAGCCACTTGGGAGACGGAGACAGGAGAATTGCTTGAACCCCGGAGGCAGAGGTTGCAATGAGCTGAGATCCACTGCACTCCAGACTGGGTGACAGAGTAAGACTCCGTTTCA